AGTTCTAGGCAAGAAACATGGGAAAGATCAATATTACTTCTTGCAACAAGAAACAACTCAACAGCTTAATAAAGTTTTTGCGTCCCAAAGTTTATATCACTAACTCTTCAAACTTCAAGAATCTTGTTCAAGAATCTGAGCATCCAACTCAAAATCGTAAGTCAATGCATGAAGTTACTGACCATATTATAAACCCCTTTAGAGATCTTTACATAATCAACGATAGACAAGTGTATTCTCTAAATGTGTCACATCAAGAAAGTATTAGCCAAGACTTATCCTTTTATTCAAATCCGAAGAAAGTGTGCTATCATCTTTTACGACACATGAGTCTTTCATCCAAAAATCATCGCTTACAACATTAGATAGTTCCGCAGCAAGCCAAGAAATTATGGATTTTTTTGCGGAATATAAGAAAATGGAGTTATGGCTATTGGAGATAGAGCCATGTTCTAATTATTACTATGAGGGCCGAGGGGTACGTGCCGTTGGTTCAAGAACAGGTCTCTGTCTATGATTATGATTCGTATATGGCCAGTGTTTTGCAGTACTAGCTTTAAAATGGCAGATCTAGAATTTAAATATTGTAGGTTCTGAGCTAAGATCTAACTCCATATATTTATACTTATTTTTCATATATATATATATATATATATATATAGAGAGAGAGAGAGAGAGAGAGTTGTAGTTCAACTCAACACGAACCTATTGTTAGATCCTCCACCGTAACTTTTCCTTTCTCTGTCTCTCGAATATAAATAGAGAAAATAGTAATAAATTGTAGAGTGAACAAGATTAATAATATTTTTATATACTAGTATCTATGAACGTGCTTAACGTTAATAATGGCACGTGATGATTTAAACATTTATTTATATGAAGGAACAATAAAATTTAATTAATAAGAGAAATTTTATGTATAATAATACAACAATCATCTAAATGCCGAAAAATATTAGTATTACATTAACATAATATATGAATTTAAAATAAAAGGACATCATCAAAACTTGCACAAATAATTAATTTTGTTATATTAGTTATAGTTTAAAAGTATTTAATGTGATGGTATCTTAACGAACACTTCTTTGTGGACAATATTTTTTTATGTATGTTTCCTCCTAATGCGTTGGTTGCTCTGCCTTAACCAGAACTCTTATTGTTGATCTTGATATCCGTTTTGAAAGTTCAACATACAGTTGTTCGTGCAAGAAAATATACTGTGGTAAATATAGTCGAGCATTTAGGATGTTTGTCCTTATGCTTTATTTATTATATTTGCAAAACATAAGCATACTAAAAATTATTTTCACACAAATTTAAAAAGAAAGTTTCGAAAAATGAAAGTTGAATTCAGGGATAGGAATATACTTAGAAGCACATTCACCAGTATCATAATTTTTGCATGTATGACGTTATTGTCAAAACTTCTATATACCATCTGTGTGCTATTACATAAGGTACTCGGCGTATCTAAGTTTTCCAGTAGCATGACAAGCATATTTTTCTTCAAAATTAACCTATATACAATGGAAGATCAATTTTAACTTAGTCTATTATATATACGGTGACACTAACATATGTAAGAAATAAGAAACTTTACAACAAATATGTATGGTAGAAGGCCATTTGGTATTAAAGTATCTAAGTATTCTTCTTGGTAGTAATTATTGATATCATTTTCTGCTGAGTCAAAAATTGAAAAATATTTTGTTTTTACTATAAATTTTGCAATCAACCTTTTATTTAGTTGATCAACATATTCATTTCTGCTAGCTAAGATATCTTTTTAATTCTATCATGCGATTTGCACAAATTGCGTTTTAATCTAATGATAGAAATATTTCTCTTATTAAATGCACGTTACCATTGGGATTAATAATTAAGTGTTTAGGAAGAACCAAATCATCTTTTATTGGATGCTCTTCTTCGTTTCCGGCACAAAGCAAGAAGACACTGAATACAAGATCTATTCTTACTTTATATTTCTTGTCAGTTGAATCTTTTTCGTTTGAGGCCAGAAGTATAACTTTGGCAAGCTAGCTTTTACAATATCTGCTTTTGTCGATTTTGGAACTATTGGTAGTACTTGATAGAAATCACCTCCCAAACCATTAATTTTTTTACCAAACGATTCCTAATATATCTCTAGAACTCCGATCAGTTATTTTGATCGTTTGACACTTAGCCATAAGTGTTTTATCCCATATTATCAACTTTTCTTTCCTTATAAATTTAACACCATTGCTCTACTCTGATATATTTGTGATTGTTATATAAGTTGTTTGAAGAGGTATATCAAATCTAAAGTGGGTGGTCTCACAATAAAATCGTTGTTGGTACACCACTTGCTATTATTGCTGACAATGTCATGCCTCTTGATATGATATTTGCAAGTAATGCATGACATAGAAATATTATTTCGATTCCGCCGGAGGCATCTGCAAAGAATAATCCTGTTATACCAGAGTCGACTCTTTATAAAATAGTCTTGAAAACTTGTTCTTGTTTAGGATTTAGTTTTGATTGTGCTTCCTTAGACACTTGTATAGCATTTTGATTCTTAATAATATATTAACCTTTTTATTTTGTGTTCTAACGCTCTTTTTATGGAATAAATTTATGTACCCGGAGATTTTGTTTAACTTGAATAAGAATTTTACTCATATGATGAATTCAAAATAATTGAATTGAATTCTCTTGCTAAATAATTAATTTAACAATTTAATTATTTGGGTTTAACATAAAAAATAATTTATTCTATGTTGATTCAGATCTTAATATTAGTTTCATCTATTATTTTGAATATTTAATCTTAATTATAATATTATCCACCATAAATTTTATTTTCAAGGAGTAAAAGATTGATATGACATTTTACTTTTAGATCTTTATGTTTATAGAATCATTAGTGGTATTGACTCTTACCAACCATTTTTTCTTTTTCTCACAAATTTATATTCTTAATTGTTGTTTAATAATTGGGTATTTTTTTTAATATTACACAAAAAATTAATAAAAAAAATATTATTTGAGTAGGAAAATAGTTCAAATATAATATAAAAATATACTATCGTGGGGGTATTTTTTTTTTTTATCAATTTTAACTCTTTATATATTCTATTTAATATTACTTTTATTTTTTCTTCGTATTGGACATTATGTAGTGGTAATGTATTGCCAATACAGAGGATTCTTATGAAATTAATTTTATTAAACCTTCCTACATATTTTTAATAAGAATTTAATAGACAAAATTTTATTAATTTTAAAATTTTAAATATTAAAAATTAGCATAGAAGATATTATAGTCCAAAAAATAGGTTATTGCAGTTATGTCATTTTCCAAAAAATAGGTTATTGCAGTTATGTCCTTTCCCTATGAGTTCTTCCGTTTAATATTTTAGGGCAATTTGATATATTAATATTGTATTTATGCTTTTATTATAATATATGCTCTCATTTTTCTTAATGGATTTGGACAATATAATACATTCTCAAATTAATTCAGTAATAGAAAATTATAATACGTTTTTAAATTAAATTGGTAATAGGAATTTTATATGGATTAGACAACCTGAAAATAATTATACTAATAGGATTCCTAAAGCTAGTCATGCAGGATTCCTAACATGTAGTATTATGTCCTAAAACTAATAGGATTATAAGGCTAATATCTAGAATTCCGGTTATGTCCTTTTATTATGAGTTATTATGCTTAAAATTATAAGGTTATTTTTGTAAACCGACATTGTATTCATGCTTTTATAATAAATATAGATACAGATTAAGGAATGGAAATATTATAGAGCACAAACCAATTAATAATTTCCCCCCTCTCTCTATCTCTCTCTTTTTGTTTTCTTTTTAAATCAATATTCGAGGAAATGAAATTGATCTGAACCATCATGTATTTAAATAATTATTTGTAAAAGGTCTATTGTAATTTTTATTTGATGATTATTTGTTATGTCCTATTTTTTTTAATTTTATCTTTAGTACATATGATATTTTCAACTATACCACAAATGATTTGATCATATCGATAGTTTAAATAATGATTCCTAAATGTTTCTCGAAATAATTCACAGGACAAAGTTATTGATTCTAATAGTATCCTTTTTGAATTATTTGAAGTATATGTTAGAGTTTACTATATTAGTTAACTTTATGTTTGGTATGACAACAAAGACTCTGTGGCCCAATGGATAAGGCGCTGGTCTACGAAACCAGAGATTCTGGGTTCGATCCCCAGCAGAGTCGATTGTAACTATTTTGTTTTTTTGGCCTTGCCATTTCATTGGTATAAAAGACTTAGAATCCCTATTAAGTCACTTGATTTTTCTTCTCTCTTTTTGTTTGGAGAAATGTTAACCAATTCAAACTTACTGAGAGAAGGAAGGCTATGATTTTTATGAATTGGCTAAAGCTAGTGCTTACATTTACTCGAACAAAATATTCTATCGGCCTGCATAAAGAGACTAAAAAGGATAGCACGGTGCACAAGACATCCCACGTTCACGCATGATCCGGGAAAAGGTCGCACCTCAAGGGGTGTGATGTAGACATCCTACCCTAATGCACGCATTAATGGATGCTTCCACGGCTCGAACCCGTAACCTATAGGTCACAGAAGAGTCTAGAAAGGTTATTCTCTTAGAATAAAAGATTGAGCTTGATCATAAACTAAATTTCACATTGAGGTTATTTATGGCTCCTCCCTTGTATAAATTTTGACACGTTCATATTTAATACAAGCATTCATAAAAAGGATAGCACGGTGCACAAGGCATCCCACGTTCACTCATGATCCGGGAAAGGGTTGCACCTCAAGGGGTGTCACGTAGACATCCTACCCTAATGCAAGCATTAATTTCTGTTTCCACGGTTCGAACTCGTGATCTATAAGTCACAAAAGATACTAGAAAGGTTATACTCTTAGAATGAAAAGTTGAGCTTGAGCATAAACTAAATTGCATATTGAGGTTCTTTATGGCTCTTCTCTTTATATAAATTTCGAAACATTCATTTTTAATACAAGCGCAAGGAGAAAAAATATATGAACAATAAAGATGCACACAAAGAAGGAAGTATTTCAATTCATTGGCGCTTCGCTTGTGTTAGTTGAGAAGCAGGAAGAGTGTACAAAGATTTCAACTGCTGAGTAATAAGCTTGCTGTTACTAATTGCCATTTGTAGTTCCAAATTATCAGACCACCATTGCTCCAATCCATGTGCCTCAAGAAACTTCTGTTTCCCTTTATTAGATGACAAGAAAAGCTTTGCACCAGCAAAATGTCCATTTGTTGGTTTCGCGTTCTCCTTATCAGCGCGCCTGTCTTGTAAACCGTTATCTTGATCAGTATACGAGCAGCATATATAATCACTATTGTTAATGTACAAATGAGGCACCCATTGTTTTAGACCTATCCGAAATGATGGCATATTTTCGTTGCAACTGGTTTCAGTATCAGTATTTGTCGGGAGCATTGATGATTTAAATCTTTTCCACGCGAAACCAGCTTTTTCGCCAATGTTTCTCAAGCTCATAGCAAGTGAAACCGAGGGTGGATTGAACAAATGTGCCTCTATATGTATACCTTCTTTCGCTAACGCTTTTCCTACTTGAAGAGCAAATCCAGCACCAAGTGAATGGCCTACAACACACACATTATTGCTTCCATACTTGTTGGCGATTGATTTTAACGCCTTCAGTGCTGCGTTGAATCTAACAGAACCTTTCAAACTTTCCCAAGTTAAGAAACGGAGATCATCTTCGATATCTCTTCTCATTGTTTGGCTTTTTAAAAGTGTTCCTCTTAAGGCTAGAACAGCCCTAGGTGCACCACTTGGTCTGATTAGTACAAAATCAGCCAATGCTGCTGATCTATCCCATTCTAAGATTGCACCGAAAATGGATCCATCTCTTTCGTCGTTTAGAGTCTCGATTAACTTGTACTTGAAGGGTATCAACCATTTTGGAGCAAGTGCATTTTCTGCTGTCCTGTTTTCTTGTCTGTCGATCTCAAGAAGGTAAACTGCTTGGACAAAACAGGCCATTACAGTTCTTTTGTAGTTAGAGTCCTTCCTGCCCAATTGAATTACTTATTTCATATCAGAGTCAAAGAATAGGAAGTTGATATTTTTTTGTAAGATCAGAAGCACAACAACAACAACAACAATAACAACAACGACAATCCAGTGAAATCCCACAAGTGGGGTCTGGGGAGGGTAGTGTGTGCGCAAACCTTACGCCCTTTCTACTGAAGCTGTTTCCGATAGACCCTCGGCTCAAGAAAGATGAAAAACAAACACAGAAGAAACAAGCAATATCAACAAAGAGGGCCAAAAAGATAATAACAGCAACTGGAAACAGTAACAACAAGTTGTAACAACAACAAAATACTAAGAAACCGAGGTGAAAGATAAGATAGTAGTTGCAAATTGAGAATTAAAAAGAGAGATAAAAAGATGACGCTAATAATATATGGACAACACCAGTGATCTTCCTCATTCTTGAGGCTAAACAATGGAAGTTTTGGCCCAACCACAAGATATCAAGTGAATGAGATACTAACATCGCTATCAAGATAGTAGTTAAATACTGAAATCAAGAAAAAGGCATACATCAACAGTCACCTGGTATGACCTTAACCAAATTCCATCCTATCAAGTATAAGTGAAGCAATAACAAATACACAGACTAGTCTAAACAAGAATCTAGAACTTACATGGAAATAACTAAGCAATAACAAATTGACTTTTTATTCATATTTGTATATTCAGTTTCACAAAAATCATTACCATGAAAGATTTGTGTACCCTGAAGAAGTCAGCTCTACCTTCTCAGGCTAGAAACAATAGTTTAAAAATATTAACTACGCTCATTGGCCCGACCTCACACATCACTTCTGAAATGACAATCTATAAGAACTTGTTTGTGTTTGACCCAAAAACGTAAATCTCGGTTCAAATAATTAATTCTAATTAAATATAGGTTAATTTTAGTTAAGAATAATTTCTTGATATCAAAGAGGTAGTTGAAAAGCATTTATGAAGACTATAATGATTCCTTGCAATGGATGTCTTATAACTACCAAGAACAATAACAATATGCAAGATATTCAATAAGTGTCAATCTGGTGGCAGCCACGTAATTAAGGGAAATAATTTAAGCAACAAAAAGTGGAACAAAAGAAACTTCCACCTGATAATGATTGGATGACAGATCCTCAAATAGTCGAGGATTCCTCGGATCTGGCAAGAATCTTAATGAAAGTCTTGTATTGAGTGAAGAATAAATCTTTTTCAAAGTGTTGTTCTAACAAGAAAATGAATTTCACTTGCCTTTCCTCTCTCTCTTCCTTCTATTTATATGGGATCCTTTCCCGAAAAACCCTAGTAGTACAAATGTAAGGAATATTCACTAGAATATTCCATTTCTGATTCCATTTTGAAAACTAGCCGTTAAAGCTCTATACTTAGTATTCGACCACGACCCTCCTCGACTTTTCGACCATTATCCTCATCGGTATTTTGACTACGACTTTCTTAGACTCCTCGACCTCGGCTAATGTGACTTCATGACCGTTTTTAAATGGTAATTTGCGGATCCTTCTCGCACTGTTATTTTGACCCATACAATTTGGTTTTTTAGTAATAAATTTATAATCAGTCAGATTTGTTATGCATATCCATCATCTGAGTCTCTAACAATTATTCCAATAATTTCATATCCGATTTGGCCTATGGATGAATATGCAAGCATCCAATACCTTAAAGTGCTATCCTTTCTGTTATCCTTAGTTAGAAGGAGTAAATTAGCTAGTGAGAGAGTGGAGGATGCCATTTTCTTTGACCCATAAATTCAAAGGCGAGTCCAAGATCTAGTGTCACTAGGTTCAGAATGAGTGTGATCATATAATATGTATACATTTTAATTTTCTATTCTTTTTTCTGCATATGTCTATATAGTTTAAGTCAAAAGTAATAAGTTAATCTGAACCCACAAAACCTGTACTAGATCCACCCATGACTACATTGAACTTTATGAACCTTGCTTATTATGTATTGAAAAATCAATAGAAGCGATAAGCCGCCAGCTAGAAGTGATGGTTTTTTTTTTAAAGGGCGTGAATAGAAAATAGAAGAGGTACCTTCTGGGTGGCATATTTTCAGTCACCCTTTCATTGACTATAAATTTAGAGGTTTGGCCTCTTTTTTACGCACTGAAAAATCTGAAAACTTCTTCCCTATTTTCTACGTGCATTGTTTTTTCACATAAACATAAGTGTCAAGCTAAGTTGCTCCGACACGACAGTTTAGGTGCCGCACCTGTGTCGATACGACACTAATATGGGTATGGGTATAGGATTTGTACCGGATTTGGTCAAATAATTTTGGGTACTTTGACCACGACGAATGAAAAAATTCAAGACGAGATACAATTTGATTCCCGAAATCATAATCAAACTTTATCTGGGAAATAAATTATTTATTTATCTATAATTTGAGAATAAAAAAGAAATTCACACTTTACGAGCTATACGTAAGTATTCCACAAAATTTCTCATAATTTAGAGATATTTTTATTTTTTTGAATTATTTTTAGCAGGATCCGTATCCCCAAATTTTAGAATTTATATCTCGAAGGATCCGACCTCTAGATCCTTACCCATGTCGGACACCCGCATCCCTATCCGTGCAACTTAGGTGTCAAGTGTGATTTACTTCGTTTGTCGAGTCCGTCGAAATTCTGTAATTTCGATTGCTAGTATTACAGAATAATCGTTCCGTTCTATCTTGAGAGGAATTAATCCAACAAACTTGTGCAATAATGAGGGGATTAAATTAGTTAAGGAAATACAGTTTCTGTTGGGCTTAGAACTTTTTCATTTTTATTCATCATTTGCATTACTGTCTCTTTTCTGTTTTTACTTTGCAGGAATATCTCTGGTACTAACAACAACAAGAAAAAATAATGATCTTCAGCTAGATTTCACTTAAACCACAAGATGACCCAAATCAAAGCTTTAAAAAACAATGAAATCTGAATTCAAGAGAAATTCTCAAATCCACCCCCCCCCCCC